ATCAAATTTTCATATGTATATCATATAGTATAGACGCACTTTATTTATTCTCATAAATGTATTGCATCACCTTTATTTTGAACATAAATCAAGGATACAGAAGAACTTTATTTTTTTCTTAATCATTAATAACACTAATAAAACACATTAAAAGTAATAAATCCAACAATAAGATTAGGAACTTTATCCGCACCTATTAAGATCTTCCACTGTTCACTTTCCATAAACTTGTTTTTACAAAAAGTATTGCAAGAAAAATAAAATAATTATTTACATGAACTTGTTATGAGAAAAAGAGAAAGATAATTTTCCAAAAATTATTTTTATTGAAATTTATCATCAAATACATTAGTTTCAATTTCTAACATTTTTACTTTATCTATAACCATAATAAATTCAATTTCCTCTTTGCTTTCTCTTTTAATCAGGTTGGTTTATCCTATTAACTCATTTATTACCTCTTACGTCGTTAAGTAAATAATCATATGTTATATAAATAGAGGTTAATACAGATTAAATTTTTAGAAATCTAATTTAAATTCAATTTATATTTAAATAATTGGATTCAAACTAAATCTAAAGTTATGTTGCTTAATTTGTATGGGTTTAAATACATTTTTACTTAATTAACTCGACACTAATTTAACTTAATAATTTTGATTTAAATTTTAGATTATAAACATAAACATGTTTTATGCATTTGGAGGTTAGAAAAAACAAAGACATTCCACCAACTGCCACGTGGCATAAGAGGTTTTCCTTATGTTACAAAAGTACAATGATTGGGCAAACAGTATTAAAAGAAGGAATAAAGAATATAAATGTGTTGTATTGCGTTGTGTGTAGTGCCGTCTCAGGCTAATATGTTTTGGATCGGAGAGAAAGAGTCAGTGCGTTGTGCGCGTGTGCTTCAGAACATTATGGAAGGTGGCCGGAAGCCGTTGAAGCCGCGCCTTGAGCGCCGGAACGCCATGAAGAACATCGATTACCGGTTAAAGGAGGATGAAGACACAGACACCGAAACGGACATAGACATAGGTAGTTTGGATGAAAGGAGTTTCCGAGTGGAAGGAATTGACGGCGAATTCGACCGTATATTTCGGAGCTTGGGCCTGTCCGGGCCCGAGGACTTTGCCATCCCGGCGGCGGCTTGGAAAGAAGCCCAGGCCCAGAAGGCCCGCAGCACAGTGAACCTTCAACACGAACCGCCACAAAATAAAAAGCAGAGAGAGGGGGGAATAAAGGGCGTTAGGCCTCCCATTTTGGAACCGACGCAGGTTACCTCCACTTGGACCTCCCAACAACCAACGGTTTCTGATTCCGTGTCACGTGATGAAGACAGTGATGTTGGTGTTAAAGCTGAAATTGAAAAGGTTTCTGCTTTGGTCGGGAATGAGACCTTTGATATTCAAAACCTGTCGCCGAATGCAACCGGATATTTCGGGTCGTGGCAAAAAGGCGAGATCTTGGGAAAGGGCTCTTTTGGAACTGTATATGAAGGCTTCACGGAGTCAGTACTCTACACTACACTGTTCTTCATTCTCTTTCTTCTTCCTTTCTTGAGCTTCCCATGCATAGAGATTACTTACTTGATTTTATTGCTATATCTTAGTTGTTCCCATTTTATCTACAATTAGAAAGACCGTCTGGGTGGCTTTATTGAAATTTACACCAATTTTTTCATCTGGAAGGAAAAAACCAAGTGAGAAATGAATGCAGTTATCTTGTCTAAGATTATTTGGTTCAGAAGTTTTTCTTACAAATGCTATCAAAATAAGGTTTGCAAATTCGTACACCAACTATTTAACATGTTTTCAGGGTCAGACACTTGTTTTGAAAAAAAGAGAACATTAACTAATTATAACTAGTTGTTTGATAATACTAATCTCCATACTAGTATGAGTGGCGCAACAACTTATTTAGGATAAGTTTTTTATTCTATCATAAATGCAGTAATCTGATGTAATTCAACTTTATAAAGTCAATATGTAAATAATTCCCTAAATATTCTGATATTGGTGCTTATCTTGTTAATGTAAAATTTCACAATTTTTATACTGTGCTTGTCGCGGATGTAACACATACATCTTCTTTTACTTGCAGCGATGGGAACTTTTTTGCCGTAAAGGAGGTGTCTTTATTGGATAACGACAGCCAGGGCAAACAGAGCATTTTCCAGCTTCAGCAGGTGAGATAGTTGGGCTTCCCTTCTCATCAAACAAACATCATGGCATAGTCTAGTTTTCTGTCAAACCATGCACACATTCTTGGTTTGTTTGTTCCATCTTATACATAGGCGTTTGATAATATAAGTATGTTTGGTCTTCCAGGAAATATCTCTTTTGAGTCAGTTCCGACACGACAACATAGTTCGATATCTTGGCACTGACAAGGTATGCTGCTTTCTTGTTGGTAATTTTATTAGAATTTGTGTGTGGTCTGGCTTGTTTCTGTAATTGTTGGAACTGACAAGGAACCACAATTATAGTTTCTGTAAGACCATATATTGAAACAAATATACTTTATCTGTCTCTCTTATCTCTGAAAATTTCATCTTCCTTATGTTTTCTGATCCAGTTTCTATAATTAGCCGTGTATCCCAGTTTTGGTGATACTCCTTGAATTATTTTCGCTATCTGTATTTACGTCTTACTGTTTCTCAGGACAATGACAAGCTGTATATCTTCCTCGAACTTGTAACAAAAGGATCGTTGGCAAGTCTCTATCAAAAGTATCGATTAGGGGACTCTCAAGTTTCTGCATACACAAGACAGATTTTGAGTGGCTTGAAGTATCTTCATGATCGCAATGTGGTTCACAGGTAACACGAGTGAAATTTCTATCTTGATGCAATACAATGATTGTAACCATAATAATGACAATCTTTCTTAGTCATTTTGGATTTTCATTTCTTCTTTGGTATCCTGAAGAATCTATTTTGAGCCGATTTCCACTTTATATGACTATTGAAATCACTGAGTGGTCAAAGTTGGGTGCAGTGGTTGGAAATTGATGACCGAAGTATCTCAAATTTACATGGACTTCTACATTCTAACTTTACTTCATCCAAAATTTTAAATTTTAAGGGACATCAAGTGTGCCAATATATTGGTTGATGCAAATGGGTCCGTCAAGCTTGCAGATTTTGGATTGGCGAAGGTACATTTCTTCCACAAAATAAACTTTCTTGAGTCAGCACTTATCACTGCAAATTCCAATGCCAACCACTTGCAATTATATTTTTCTTTTTGTTCCTTTGCAGGCAACCAAGCTGAATGATGTTAAATCAAGTAAAGGCTCTCCGTACTGGATGGCCCCTGAGGTTTGTCTCTCTCCATGTAGTGAGAATTCATAACAATTTCTCTTGCTTCCACTGAATTTTTCTATATCGGACTGCAGAATCACCATTTTCAGTATTTGTAATTTCATGATGTGCTTAGAATGAGTTTGAATTGTTGGATCATAGGTTGTTAACTTGAGGAACCGTGGATATGGGTTAGCAGCTGATATATGGAGCTTAGGATGTACAGTATTAGAGATGTTGACACGCCAACCTCCTTATTCTCATTTGGAAGGAGTATGTCTAACATTTTACAGTTTTCTTTACCCTCGTTTCTATATTTTCCTAGATTCATTTATTACTGAGACTGAATTTTCCATGTAACCATTTCTTGTCCACTTCCTTAAATGATGCTAAATACCTTTTTGTTTCCATTTGTTACGACAGATGCAAGCGATATTTCGAATTGGCAGTGGTCAACCCCCACCTGTTCCGACATCTTTGTCAACAGATGCACGAGATTTTATTCTTAAATGCTTACAAGTTAACCCAAACAAACGGCCAACTGCTGCTGGGCTATTAGACCATCCATTTGTAAAGAGACCACTTCTGTCTCCCATAAGTCCTGTTTCTCCAAGTATCAACCTTTTACTGTCCTAAGAGATTCTCAACATCCTCTGAGATTGTTTTGCAGACATGACCCTAGCTTCTTCTTCTGGTCACGGTTCTTTTCCCTTTTTGTCAAGTTGTAAGTATTAGAGCAATGGTTATTAGTGTTTGTAGCCACCCTTTACATCTGTGAATAGGAAGCTAAGAAAGGGAAGTAGCTACCTAACAAAGGAACTGGTAGTTTTTATTGTAATCAGTCTTTCGACTTTCTCTTCAATTAGAACAACACTGGGCTTTTGTACATAGCTTAATCAAGGTTTTCAACTTCATCACAATGCAATTACCTTAAACATTCTTTATGTCAATCCTAATATAAAACTATTGTTTGTTTCTCTTAATGACACAATATGTTTAAATTCTTGCATAAAATTTCATCACTTCTCTTTTAAATAGGGATTGAATAGAGGTATAATGAGAATTTGAGTCTAATAACCGAATTATGAACTACACAATGAACATGTTCATTTAAAGAAATAATATTTCGTTAGATTCATTTAAGAATTTTTGTAATTACTTGAAGAAAAAAAAGAAAATTAAAATTATATGGTCATAAAAATATTTATAAGAATAAGAAAAAGGGTCAAAGGCAATAAATGAGAGGGAATAAGCAGTTATTATAAGTTTTGAGAATCTCTGAACTCACCAATTATGCCACATAGTTGCTGTTTCTGATTGTAACGTTTTTAGAAAAACAGGACCTGTTTCATAATAATTATTAAATTGGGAAGAATCATGGTCAGCTTAAAATTTTCTCCAATTCAAACAGGCATTAAACAAACACCAACTACCCGTTATCTGTTCTGAAACGTTTTATTCAAAAAACTGTTCCAGAATTTTTCTTAAACATATAATTCGAAAGTCACTTTTACAAATAAAATAAAAAAATCATTTTGAAGATTTAATAAGAAATCATGGGGTGTAGGAAATAAAAATCAGAAGTGATTGGGTTTGGAAGATTGATCCAGATCCAGAAACTTAAGATATTGGACCTGTGGGCCCAGTTTGGTGATATACTAATTGGGCTAGTCAAAACGATGCGGTTTTTGCATTGATAAGAAAGAAATGAAAGAAGTTAGAGCAAATGCAGTTCTGTTAGTAGAAAATGTCGTCAGAGAAGGAATCGGAGTCTCGGAAATCGAGTTCGGAAGAGATTTCGCGCGAATTCAAAACCCTAGTTAATTCCGGTGATCTTCACTCCCTTAACCACATGCAACACACCATGTGCGTATAGAAATCCAGTTTCGCTGTTATGCAATAATTGAGTTGGTGTGCGTGTGTTCGTTAATTTGATTGATTGATTGATTGAAGTGTGTTTCAGATTGGGAAGGTTGCAGGACAGCAATGCGGTGTTGTCGCATTTCAACGACTTCTCTCAACACTGCTTTGCTGAGATTTCCGGTGACATTGCTAGAAACACGCGCATATTGAAGTCTGTCAAGTCTGATCTTGATTATATCTTTCAGAAACTCAGGTATTCTTTTTATTTTGTTCGTCGTTGTGTTTTTTTTTTTTTGTTTTTTTTTCTGTTGCTATTACTGCCTCGCCTTTCAAAATTGTTTGGTATTTACTGCTTCATCATTCATCCACTGTTTTCGCATCTCCTACTTGTTGTTTGGATATTCGAGGGCCAGCAGAACGCAGTGGTTTTGTACCACGTTAAGTAGAATTAAATACTTAGTTTTGTACTTTAGTTGTGAGATTCTTCTACTTAATGACTAATTTTTTGGGTTGGAATCTCCTCTTGTGCACATGTCCTAACAGACTCCAAATGTGAGGCCTTCTTTCAGAAGCCAGCTCTCACGAAAGTATCAATTGTTAGGATGTTAAGCGCATGAGTGCCAAATATGAGGGCGGCTCTATCCATTAAACGACCTCTTATACTAGAAACGTGGACGCCTTTTACAGCCACTACCAATCCCTGACAGGATTTGTCGATGGGTTTTAGGACTGGCTTATCCCGCTTCCAAGGACAAATAGTCATTTGAATATGTTGTCAAATTTCACTGCCTCACTAGTGACTGAGCTTAAGAGTATTGTGTTCGACTTTGATCCAGCTTTTATCAGCCATTTCTGGCGTGAACTGTTTCTTATGAATTCTGCCTACCATACTTAGTTGGTGGACGAACTGAGGTTTTAATGATGTTGCAATAGTATTTAAAGGCCACGGTTCACCTTAAGCCCTCTTCATAGGGTCAGTTTTTGCCTTGGCTGAACATGCTCAATGCATTTTGCTACATTTATGTCGCTCTTTATAGTAACGGAAGAACTCCTCCTTCCCTCTAGAATTATATATAGGTCAACTTTGCAGTTGAAGTTGTGGATTCCTTCTTGTCTTATGGAGAGGAAGTCCTGGCTTTTTTTAGCAAAAACAGACTCAAAAAGCTCAAGAAATTATGAAGAATAATGCTTACAAACAAAAGGAGATTTCCTGTCAACGTTGTTCTTGGTTATTGGGTATGTAAAGTTGCAACCAGATCATGAGAAGTTGGATATTGTGTTCTTGTGGAAGGTGTGATTTAATATCATAAAAAAGTAGGCAAGATCAAGTTCAAAAGCAAATTATACGGTAATGACATTAGTCACTTGTCAGCTTATATCACTACAACAACTACTTAAAGTGCTCAAATTTGATAAAACATCCTAAATGCACCTTGGATGTGACAATCAGTCGACACTACACGTTGCATCTTATCTTATCTTTCATGATAGAACCAAACATATTGAGTTGGGTTGTCATTTAATAAGAGGAAAACTAGAGTATGAAGGCATCACCACTATATTTGTCAACTCTAGTGAATAATTAGCTGACATATTTACAGTCTTTAAGAACCTAAGATCGATTATATTTGTCACAATCTAGACACATACAATTTACATGCTCTAGGCTGAAGGAGAAGGTAATAATTATAGAGCTGGGGAATTGATCTTATATAATCAAGCATATCTATAATAAACGTATTTTTAGGAACATTTTTATTTTATTTTCGTATCATGTATTTGTTATTAACAATTGTCAAAACTCCTCTATTTATTGTATTGATTCTTTTGTTTTCAATATAAATAAAGCAACTGCGTTTTCTCAAAAACACACGGTTTTTGCTCAATGTTTCTCTCTTTCCTATAGTTTAATATGACACTTAATAGGAGCAATGTCATTGGTCATACCAAGGATATTAAGCAAGCCAACAAAAAATCCAAACAAGACACTGCTGCGCTGATTTATTTGAAGGATTTTTCGTGATTGTACAGGTGTCTCGGCTACCTGGGAAAGTAGGTGTTAATTAGGAACTGTAGTGAAGAGCGGAATTGGATGTTGGTTTCTGGGTGCTTTATATAGTGGGGTATTGGTTGGAGAAATGACAGGGAAATAATGTTGACAATCCTCATCCTGCGCTTGTTCTTCTCGTTATCTTTGGGCATAATATTCTTCTCTTATTTTCATCATAAGGCTTCAAATTAGAGGAAAAGAAAAGAAAAGATATGGGATTCACGGAATGGAATTGATTGGAAGTTGAGAGTGTATGTAAGGAGGAAGAGAGAGTAGTCAACTGTTAGTTAACAGTTAGAGGGAGTTAGTTGCCTAACTGTGTTAACAGTTAGGAAGAGCGGGATTATACCTTTGTATAAATTGTTGAGATGGGGAGAGGAGAGGGATTTTTTTGGCGATTCAAGTGTATGAACAAACTGTTTAGTCTTGTTGGGGGGAGATTAGGCTCCCTTATTGATTCATTCTTGTATTCTTTCTTGGAGATCAATAATATCAGAGGTTATGCAGAACTTTTGCTCTGTTTGCGTGTGTTAGTTGGGTGAAAGATAAGGTTTCTTTATCAGAAACCTATCACTTTGGTCGACCTGCCGGGTCCAAATTTTGTGGATGCTGCGGTGAAGAGATGGAGACGACGACGGAGGCAAGATTAGAAGCGATTGAGATAACGGTGGAGGGAATGAAGGCGGAGTCGACGGCGGTACGTCGCGATTTACAACAAATTATGAAAATTTTGGAAAAACAGGAAAATCACGTGGAGAGCAGTTCGGAGGGTAGCTCCGTGAATGATAACTGACACAGAGGGAATGAGGAGACCGGAGGCGGTGGAAGCGGCGAAAGAAGTGGAGCGCAAAAGCCTTGGAGGAAGAGGGTTGAGTTACCCACCTTTGACGAAGACGAGCCACTCAGTTGGTTCAATCGGGCAAAAAGGTTTTTCAATATACAAAGGGTGACGAACGATGAAGAAAAGGTGGAGGTCGCCTATGTAAGCATGGAGGGCAGCGCGGCGTACTGGTTCACTTTCTGGAAAGAGAAAGCGAGAAACCGAACGTGGAACGGGTTGAAAGAAGCCATGATTAATTGCTTCGGTGGTGGATTCAGGGGGACCGTATTCGAGCGACTGGTTACTCTACATCAAGAAGGAACAGTCGAGGAATTCGTGCGTTAGTTTGAAGTCTTGATGGGGCAAACGACGGGGATTCCAGAGGAATAGGTGATGGGCTACTTCTTAGCCAGTTTACGTGAGGACGTGAAGGGTCAGGTGCAGATCCAGAACCCATCGGAGTTGATGGAGGCGATGAGGATTGTGCGCGACATAGAAGATGCGATGATGAAAGCGTAGGAAAGCCAAGCTAGTGGATTCAAGATGAACCCATTCGGTGCGCGATCAATGGGTATTGTGACGCGATCGGAATCGACTAAACCAGTGACGAACCCGTTTGGAAGAACAGAGGGTGGAGGACCCGCGAGGAGCGAGGTAAACGGCGGCCAGGAGGAGAAAGTGATGGAGTTGTCCGCGTGTTCGGCAGAAGGCTGGACCAACCCGGGAACCTTGAAGTTGACAGGGAAAATTGGTGAACAGAGGGTGGTGGTGCTCAAAGACAACGGAGCAAGCCACAACTATATAAGTAAGAGGACCACGGAGGAGTTGGGCTTGCCGGTGATCGATACGGTACCATACCAAGTGAGTTTGGGTCGTCGGATTACCCAAGGACGATGTGAAGGGGTGATTATTGGAGGAGGTGGATGTGGAGGAAGAGTTCCATGTTTTCGAGTTGGGGGGCGTCGACGTTATTCTGGGGTTTGTATGGTTGCCTAAATTGGGCGAAGTTCGGACGAGTTGGGGTAGCATGACAATGGAATATAATGTGGGGGATAAAAAGATCACGATCAAGGGTGATCCAGCCCTATCGCGCCAGCTGGTGAAAGCGAGATCTTTGTGGAAGCTAGGAGATAACGCTGAGTCAGGAGCATTAGTGTGGGGTCTAAGTGCAATAGAGAGAGCTGAAGATGGTGAGTGGGGAACAGATGTAACAGCCCAGCAGCAGGCTGAACTGGAGAAGCTGCTGCAAACCCACTATTGCTTATTCCATGATGTGCACGGGCTGCCTCCAACATGTCACATACGGCACCGAATAAAGTTGAAAGTGGGTGTAGACCCTATAAATGTGAGGCCATACCGTTATCCTCACATTCTGAAAGGTGAGATCGAAAAACAGGTGGATGATATGTTGAAGGCCGGGATCATACGCCACAGCACGAGTCCGTTTTCCAGCCCGGTCATCCTCGTGAAGAAGAAGGATGGGAGTTGGCGCTTTTGTGTAGATTACAGAGCCCTGAACAAGGCCACTGTATCGGACAAATTCCCTATTCCGGTGATAGAGGAGCTGGTGGACGAATTAAGAGGGGCCAGGTACTTCTCAAAGATCGATTTGAAAGCAGGGTACCACCAGATCAGGATGGAGGAAGAGGACGTAGCCAAGGCAGCCTTCCGCACCCACCTGGGACACTTCGAGTTTCTCGTGATGCCGTTCGGACTTACGAATGCGCCGGCCACTTTTCAGAGTACAATGAACCAGCTGTTACAACCGTATCTTAGGAAATGGGTGCTGGTGTTTTTCGACGATATTCTCGTCTATAGTACAAACTGGGTGGATCATTTAAAGCAGCTGGGTATGGTGATGTAGTTGCTGGAACGAAATGGGTGGGTGGCCAATCGGAAAAAGTGTGACTTTGGAAGAAGGAAGATACGTTACTTGGGCCATCAAATTTCCGAACAAGGGGTGGAAATGGACGGTGATAAAATTAGAGCGGTGGTTGAATGGGAAGAACCCAGAAACTTAAAAAGCGTTGAGAGGGTTCCTGGGGCTCACCGGTTACTATCGGAGGTTCGTAGCGGGCTATGGAAAAATAGCAAAACCATTGACAGAGTTACTCAAAAAGGGAAGATTCACGTGGAATGAGCAGGCGAAGCAAGCTATGGATGAATTAAAGGCAGCTATCACGTCGGGCCCCGTGTTAGAGTTACCCGATTTCAACCAGGAGTTCCATATTGAGTGTGATGCCTCAGGAGGAGGTGTAGGTGTCGTGCTGACCCAAAACAGGAGACCCATCGCCTTCTACAGTAAGGCCTTGTCGGAGAACACCTTAAGTAAATCGATCTACGAGAAGGAGTTAATGGCTTTGGTGTTAGCCATCCAACACTG